AACTGAAGTGTGGCAGATACATCCACGTAGATTAACTTCAAACAGCTAATTGTCCCATGATCTTTTAGCATTTATAATTTCTTCTTCCTCTGTCGCAGACCTCTTCCTTCTTCAGACACGATTTATTCAGCTTTGTTACCCACTCTCCTCAACAACCACTTCGGCTAGTGGTAGTTTCACTATAGAGTTCCACCACTCTCAACCGATGTATCCTTGTTTAGCCAAGTGTCCCACAACTTCTAGTAGTCTTCTCTTTCTGTAAAACCTCTATGTCATGGCATCGTGGTCTGATTTGTATAACCTCCTCGTCGTGGATCACATATTCCAGAAATATAACTGACCACGTCCCTCAAACTTTGGTAACTTCCATTCTAAGACTTTCCTTTAGAATTCATGGAGCCATAATCTCCTGAATATATATATATATATATATATATATATATATATATATATATATATATATATATCCAATTCATTCCTTTTTGCAAACCAGTTTCCTGGATTTTAGGCTGAACTTTCCATACTAACTTTATAGCGTCGTGGTCACTTTCCATTCTTCCACCGATTCTATATCATGGATTGTGGTTATAACATACTTCCTTGATTTTAGCTTTTACCATGGTTCGTTCCTACCACAAACAGATACATCATCCTCCATATTGGGTAATCACGTGTCCTAAATTTAGCAACTTCCTTTCAGCCTTGCCTCACCTGGATCCAGTACTCAATGGCACCATAAATTTCTCGTTCACAACGGTTATTCTATCGTGGGTCAAATAAATAAATAAATATATATATATATATATATATATTTATAGAAATTAACCTCCCATGTATCATTTTGTCTGACTTAGCAAAATAAATGTTAAAGTCTCCTAAAAGCATGGAGACCCTCAACCCCACGTTCTACTTCCTTGATTAAGTCAACTTTGGTAAATCAAATAATAGGAAAACCTCCAATTACTTATAAGTACATGATTTTACCCATAAACCTTCCATAATAACAATTCTTTAAAATAATTGATATATTATAGTAAGTCCCACAGAACTCGCCATGTGTCAAAAACCAATTGGTTCATAAGAATTGCGTTCTAGCGTAGTAAGTTCCATTGGAACTTGCCATATATTTCCTTCTTATTGGTGGGTAGGACCAAATTAGCCTTCAACAACTTCAAATCATGCCTCCTCTTTAAAAGAGGTGATCCAATGTAGCAAGTTCATTGGAACTCGCCACATGTCACCTTTCCATTGGGCCAAAATAATGGAGTAAACACTTTGTATGACACTTGTCTATTAAGATATAACGGCGCTATAAGCCTATGAATATGGTAAATTTCCTCCATGCAATATTTGCTCTGATTTGATTCAAAAATGCACCTAGACTATTAAAATAATGAAATGAGTTCGATCCTTACATATGACTCGGACCAATTTTCAGATGGCTCAAGTCCATTAGATTTGAGTCCCATGTTTCGAACCACTTGACCATATGACTCGAACAAAACTATAACACTACTAATAATATGGAGATTGAACTTGGTTTTAGGCATTCGGCTAAGACCATTAGACTACATGGCTTGAACCTATCTGTCTTGGGTTCAAGTTGATAAGGAGAGAATAATTCTTACTATGAAGTACGGAGTATGTTTTTGTTTTTTTGGCAAATGAACTATTGGGCTTATTGATGGACCTCTAAGCGCCTGTTCGGTCCTTCTCGAATTGGCAAGTGTGATGATTCATAACGCGACTGTAACCTTTGGAGAGTTAATTGCTACAACGATGATTAACAACCCAACAATTTAAAAAAAGTTACAGTATTTGTTAACTACAAACTCCTTTAAAAGATTAAACCACACAACCATTTAACAACTCATTTGGTTTGAACAGATTGTACTCGTCAAGTCTGTCATCGCCGTAGATGCGACTCTTGGGTTTGAATCTCCACCTTTTCCCCTTCTGTTCTTCTCTGATCATCTAACATTCTCTGTATATCTATCCAAAAATCTTCGATAAGACAATAGGGCATTAATAGTGTCTCCACTATAAGCACATTAAAAGATTGGTGGAGTTTTCCATCATAAAATACATTCAAAGACCTCCATAGAAAGATTTTACGTATCACAACTAATGTCTCTTTACATCAGGCATATCAATTATTCAGGCCTTTAACTCACTTTTGCCTAGCGCTGATAACGGATAAGATCGATTCGATTTGGGGTAAAGTTTAATTCAAATCAGTCCTAACGAATTGGTGAAATTTGAAACCGAACCGATCCGTAGGGACTTTCAATCCGAACCAAACCGATCCGTGAAATAACGAATTGGATCAGTTCGGTTTTCACAAATTAGACTTTTCAAACAGCCCAACAATAATTCTGTTACTATTAATTACTAAATTGAAAGACCAACTAACTTACCATGGAAAATAAAAGAAAGACCGACAACCAGGCCCCTAAAGTTATACAACTCGTATGGTATTACTTTACGCCACATAAAAGTTTGACTTAAAGGGAGATTTTCCTTTTTCGGTTAAAAAAATAAAAAATAGAAGGCAAAACATTCACACACAGCATGAATCAAATCCTCTTTCTCAGTTATCACAAAAAGAGTTGTAATAAATCTCTCCAGGCATGCACCATAGAACAGTTCTAAACAATATTTCTATTTATATATATATATATATATAGGATTGGGTTCTGAAAAAACTGATCCGATCTGTTAACTGAATTGATCCGATCCATTAGCTTAAGTAAATATTAATATTATATATATATAATATTATATAAATAGAAATATTAATATATAAATAGAAATATTGTTTATTAATATTATATATATATAATATTAATATTCACTTAAGCTAATGGATCGGATCGGTTCAGTTAATATATATATATATATATATATATATATATATACTTAAGCTAACGGATCGGATCGGTTCAGTTAACAGATCGGATCGATTTTTTCAGAATCCAATCCATTAGCCGAACTGTGAATAGTGAATTACTATTTTTCTAAATCATCGTCGATTTATGAAATTTAAAAATCGAACCAAACCACACGAATCGAATTGGTCCGAACCGAATTGACGAATTATTTACATATCCTAATCTTGCCCAATAATTATAGACATTGTAATCTAGTCAAGCACATGACCCTGGGTCCATGAAACAAAACTAGTTAAGCACATGAGCAATGCTTGATTAGTAGAATCATTTTGTCATACCGACCTTAGGTTTGTGTATGGTTCCTATCAGTAGGCAAAGCTGTGAGTATATATATATATTATAAATAATATTGCACATAGATTGCCAACGTAGCAAATGCATACCAGATTCCCAATAAAAGTAGTAGATGTGTCTAGACGTTAAAAAGAGCTCTACTTTAAAATGTCACCCCAAGAAAACATATAAGTATATATAGCAAATGGTACCGGTTGCTCAAATATCTTGGCACGGTCTTTAATATTTTAATTGATAATTATTGTTGATGGGTAGTAAAATGATACTTGGGCATCCTAAAATGACACGTGTCGGTGACAGGTTGGTAATGTGTCTTTATATTCTCGACCTTTTACTGTTCTGGATTTTCTTAATGTGGATGCCTCGAGGACAGATAGTACCTACATTTTAAAAGTACACAAGTTGTGGGGATAATATATAGTCGACTTTTAACCCCAAAAAAATATATATATAGTCGACGTGTTTTATTTATAGAAATCACAATTAAATAATTAGTTCATATAAGGTTGTATACAATTAAGCGTGGCCTCTCTTGAATTCGACACGTGTGCTGCTGTTTTTTGTTTTTGGGAGTTGCTCCGGGTCGTTTTGCCTAACCAGGAAGTAGGAAAAAAGCTTAAGCACGGCTCTATATTGGGGCGGCTGACTTTAAGCGGCTTAGCTGTTTTATTTTTTAGTTTTTTTGCGAGTAAAGTGCAAAAGTAATCTTTATTATATACAGAACGTGCATCATTTCCAATGTAATAAAGAGATGAACCTTGGCTGAGTTATGGTGTCTGTCGACAATTTTTTGACAATCAAGTCATCCAAATTTTGAAGTAAAATTAAAAATTTAATGTACTAATTGTCTCTTACTTATTTGATCAGTGAGATGTCATATTTATAATAATATGTTACTGTTATAATTTAAATCACATAAAGCGGGAGTAGGAATTAAAGTGAAAGCGTGAGAGCATCAAAGTTAAAAAATATTTGAGAGCAGAAACGCTTTGAGAGTGTTTGTACATGTACTTGTATGTACTTATTCCGCTTAATGCATTATTATTTTAATTTATTAAATACTATTTTTAATATAATATATTTAAAAGTAATGAGATGTTTGCAAATTATTATTTTTATTAATTAAAATTACAAAACAGTATTTATAATTTTTTATTGTGTTCTTTAGATCTCAAACATCTAGCAGCCCAGTAGAAGTTTCTATTGGATCTTTGCAAAAGGGTTTTGGTTTCAATTCCATTCCATGCACTAACTATCCCTTTTTAGTCATTATTTGAGCCAAACAGCACCCGCATAAAGGCAATTTGCGAATTCAATCGAACTCAAATGAATTCTAGATTTGAATTCGTAAACTCTAGAAATTGAGTTCATGAATTTATTGCGAATTTGTTCCCAATTCATATCTCGCAGAACTCTTATAAGCGAATTATGTGATTTAGATTATACTAACTTGTTGGGATACGAGGAAGTTTGAGTAGACATTCGAAAAGACCCTTTCTTCTTAAGTTTGAATTGTTGTTACTTGCTTGTTATGTCGGCCTTTACAAATACCCAAAATTCTTCCAAATTATGAGTACATCTAACATTATATGAGCTTCTACGAAATTAATAATATATATATTTTTAAAATATAGTAATATAATACATATATTTTTCAAAGTGTAATACCTTTTATAGTAATATAATATATATTCACAAATGCCATGAAAGAAAAAAAAAAAAAAATCATTGGTGGATTGAAAGTTGTTTTTTCTTTCTTTCTTTCTTTGACTCACTCATATATTATTCTAACATTGATCTTTCTTAATTTTTTATTTTATTTTTCTTGACAACTCTTAAAGAATTTATTTATTTATATAAAATTTGCTCTTATCATGAATTAGGCTCACCCAAGTCGACTGGCCGACTAAACCCCTTAATTAATTAATTTCATCCTCTGCTCGCTATTGTGAAACAGCAGCTGTCCCCAGAAAATCTTTGAAAGCAGTTTTGGAAGGGAACCCCAAGCCCTAGAATCCTCCAATTCAAATCACACACAGTCACACACAAACAATAAACAAATCCATTTGATTACGTGCTAATCTTGTGGACTCCTTCTTCCAATTATATATACTACTCGTGTTCTATTCCAGATGTTTCCCTCTCTCTCCATACCCTTTGCCTTCTAGATACCTCTGCGAAACATGCATCGATCACTTTCTCTCTCCTCATTTTCTCTCTCACTTTCTATCCTATTTTTCTCTGAATTGTTCGGTTTTGTATCATCGTTCAAGACAATGATTCTTGTAAATCACGTTTTACCAAACGCATTTTGATTTTGTAATGCACATGTTCATGCTTGTATTGAACATGTCGCCATTAGAAAATTTCACCGTGGAGTTGTCTCTGTTTGGTTCTCGAGAAAAAGAGGTGAATGAAAAACGATTCGTTTTCGAAGCTGGATTCATTGTTTATGTACTTAACGCGTCGTTTCAGTTTGTGTTTGTAAAATAAAATGCAAGTTGCTGGAATCGTTAAATGTCGTAGTTCACTTTTTGACATTTTGTTCTTTGTTTTTGGAATATTTGTAGATCGATAATGAAGGAAGAATGGATCTTGATGCTACGCGTATGTGCCATTGATACTCAGGTTCGGATTTTGAGTCTCATTATGCTTATGCTTTATTTTTATGGAAAAGCTAAGAGTATGATATATACAGCTCGCCTTTAACTTTGATGTGATGACTTTAATGATTAAACTTCATCCTATTGAATTACACTTACCTCTGATCACTGTGTCATGAAGTGTTAGACTTTAACTGATTAAACTTTATCATTACTATAGCTGTTAGTTTGAATCAACTGCCATTTCATAAGATCTGTAGTTTTATACTTTTATACTGTAGTAATCTTTTATATGGTCGGGGAATTAATGAGACTTGAGTTTGTAAGCTTAATCCAAGCTTGCTTCTTCATTTAAGGTTAATACAAGCTTGCCTCTTCCTATAAGGTTAAGGCCAAGGTTGCCTCTTCCTTATGACCATCACGGAAAAATATGTACGGACAAACAATATATTTCTCAAAAAAAAAAAATATTTTTTTATTGCATGTGGTGGTCATTAAGGACAATAACCTATACAAATTTATGTATTTATATTTATTCATGTAAATATGCATAAATCATACATACTAAAGCTGTAAAGCATGTCTCTTCATATGTAAAATATTTAATTTTGATTTTACCTAGTGGAATGCTTTTTATGCTTTCTAAAAATCTGTAGCATCAAAATCCTCACTATCTGAAACTTCTTTTATTTTTTGGGCTTTTCTTTTGCCCCTTGATTCTTTTATTATTTTTACACTTAGCATTTGTTGTTTTTATTTTTATTTTTTATATTTATGATGTATTTCATATATTTGATGTCATATATTGGTCCTTTTCCTAAAATTACGAGTTGGGCTGAATTTGTTGCTTAAATCATGAATTTTATACTTTTTTATTTTTTTAATATTCATTCTTACCTTTTAGTTTTATAACTCTCATTAATAAAAAGTGAATAACTTTCCAAGCATTTGATTCTATAATTATCATTAATAAGAAGGATATAACTCGATGTTTAATTATTCCTTTTACTTTCTTGTGTTAGTGTGATACTTTTGTAAGCAGTAAAAGTTGTCATATTGTCAATGGTGGACCTATTAAAGGGTTTTTTTTTTTTTTTTTGGGAGAGGGGGTGTGGGGGTTGACTTTTTAAAAGCCCTAAAAATGTCACATTTCTATAAATAATTGCTTGAAACATGAAAAATAATTAGTGTGTGCCCCATCCGAAATTTTGTAAAACCTTAAAAATATGGCCTTTATATAATAGTGTGCTTTAGAGCATAAAATAAAAATATACATGTGGTCCCCCTTAAATTTTTCTCATGCCATAAGGTGTTGGGTTAAGTTTCGAAATGAGCACAACCCTCGTGTTTAGGATCCATTGTTGAGTTTGGAACTTGAACAGACTGTGGACAATAAGCCCAAGGAAGGTGAGTACGGCGTCAAGTCATCATGCCGCTTATGGCCTGGGTGACACGTGTTGTCTTATTCAAAGAGAAAAATATCAAATATTTGGGTTTTCTCTTTATATATTATATGGATGATTCGATCCACAAGGACCATGAATGGAAATTGTTTGATCTTTTTTTTTTTTTTTTTTGGTATTGTATTGTTTGATCCTCGTTCTCAGAGGAAGAGTCGAAATGTAATCAACTTGAATTCAAGACCATTTGTAAAACCCTAATATCATGGCCTTCCTATAAATAGTGAGCTTGAAACATTCAAAAAAAGGTTAACATGTGTCCTTTTTAGTAGCTGACCGGGTCATTGTCGTGTGGTAATGGAGGTTACGTAATGGTATCAGTTATTGCGGCATGAGATTGTTTCGAACTCTCAAATCTTGATAAAAGTGAACCGATCCACAACTTATAACTCTAGAATTCAATAAAAGTATGTTTTTAATGATTTTATTGAGTATGTAAAGGTGATTTTATACGAGTAGTGACCTACAAATTAGTTTTTAAAGTGTTCTGATTTCTAATTTCACTAATTATATTGTCACAAAAAATATATTTATTGTTGGAGTTGATAGACTTTATATTGTTTGTTACGGACAATACTGTAATTTTGCTTCATTAATATAAACAGGAGAGGTGGTGTAAAAACCTAAACCATTAGATTCTCCTCTCAATCTGTCTCTCATTTCTGCTTCTCTTCTTCTCCTTTATAATCCTAAAATGCACTGTTATACACTTATCAGAAAAAAAAAATACACTGCTATATACTTTAACTTGGTATCGGAGTAGTAAATCGAAGACAATAAATCATCCAACTAGAGTTACAGAAGATCAGAAGGGGTTGACAGCAGCATATAAAAGAAGAAACACATCACCTAAATTTTCTGGTAATTATGGTGGTGGTTTTGATTCATTTTACAGCTGTTTGAGCTTTGTTTTGATTTTTTGAAACTTTTTATGATTGGTTCGGGGCATAAGAAAGACGGGCTATTATCTGGATCGTGGTGGACCTCCATATGTCTTCTCATCAGCTTTGAGTGTTACAATCTCGCCCCTTCAGTTGCATTTTTGGGTCCACCCATCTTTGGCAAAGTTGCAATTACCTTTTTCCTACGTCAAGCATGTGTCTGTCTTAAAATGTGAAGCTTGTAAGTTGGGCTAGAACCACCATAGTTCCAATCCTAGTCATTGTCATTGTTGTCAGATTGAGTCCTTTGATGTAATCTACAACAACATCTGCGGTCCTTCTCGAACCACCATTTGGATCTTGGTGGACCTCCATATGCCCACACTTCTCAACAGAATGGTGTTGTTGAATGAAAGCATTGCTATCTAGTGGATGTTGCTCGTACCTTATTGTTTTATATGTAGGTACCAAAACAATTTTGGACTAATGCAGTTCTTACTACTTGTCATCTCATTAATTGTATGCCCTCTGTTGTTGTCAATAATTATTCTCCCTTTTATCTTTTATATCTTGGTCTCTTTCCAGCTCACAGTGCTCACTCACCGTGTATTTGGTTTTGTAGCTTTTGTTCATATATTAGATGTTGCTTGTGACAAATTGTCCCTTTGTGCTCATAAGTGTATTTACCTTGGGTACTCCTATACTCAGAAGGGGTAGCGTTATTATAGTTCTAAGCCTCAACGATATTATGACCTTTTTTTGAGTCCACTGCTTTCATTTCATCGTTTGGTTATAATTTGTCTCTGGATCTTATAATTACTTATGAAGGGGAGCCTTCCTACTCTTCTCCTACTCTCCTATGCCATTAGCTCCATCTTCTCATCCCCCCTTGCCGATGCCATCATCTCCACCTTCTAATCTTCCCTTGCAGGTTTACCAACCATCAAGATCTCGACGTTGTTTCTTATAGTCCGGAAATGACATCTTTTCCATCAGGGGTTCATGTTCCTCTATCATGCACTTTTGTTACTAATGATCTACCACTTGTGTTACGTCGAGGTAAACATACTTGTACTCGACATCTTATTGCTAATTTTGTGTCCTATGATCATGTTTCCTCCTTGCAGTCTTTTGCTTTTACCTTATCCTTTATCTCTATTCCCTCATTTTATAAGTAGGCTTTGTTTATGTTTGGATGGAGACACGCTATGGACGAGGAAATAAGTGTCCTTCACAAGAATCAGACCTAAGAGCTTACTGTTCTCGATTCTAGAAAATGAACTGTTGGCTCCTGTTGAGTTTACACTAATAAGTATCTACCTGATGGTTTTGTTGAGTGCCTTAAGGCACATTTGGTTGCTAAAGGGTATACGCAGACCTATGGGGTTGATTACTTAGAGACTTCTTCTGTCACATGTCTTAACTCTGTATGGGTTTTTCTTTCGGTGGATTCTTGACTTTTATATCAGCTTGTTATAAAGAATGTGTTAAGAGAGAGAGAGAGAGAGAGAGAGAGTATATGAAAACATATATACTATTGAGTAAGTAATACAATAATACAATGGTGTTTATATAGGAGAATCTACAGGAGTAGGTGAGTGGAGAGCAAGTAAACCCTATACATGGTAAAGCTATATATTTGGTAACACGATGAATTGGTGTTACATGTGTAAGTGTAATGGAGAGTCGGTTGGCCATCTTCTTTTGCATTGTCTAGTAGCGGTTGAATGTTGGAATCTCTTGTTAGGCTTATTTGGAGTTTACTGGGTCATGCCTAGATCTACGAGAGGTCTGATAGACACCTGGAGAGGGGGTTGGGTGGGAGCACAGGCTCGAGGGTTTTGGAGGATGGCATCCCTGTGTCTTTTGTGGTGTCTGTGGAGGTAGTGGAATAGAAGATCATGTGAAGGAGAGGAATCTTCGGTCATTGTTCTCAAATCTTCAGTTATTAGCTCTTTTTTTTTTTTGGGGTTCGGGTACACTATGTTCCTTTGTTGAGGAGACTATTAAGCTTTTGGCTTCCCTGGGGCCTTAGGGTACCCAGATTTTTTGTGGTCTTATAGGGACGTGTTTTCCTTTTGAACGCTTTTAATGAATTGCTTATTTATCAAAAAAAAAAAAAAAAATGTTATATATGGTAACGAGGGGTAGGTGAAGGCGGCTACAGAATACAAAAAACCCTAGTATACAATGTAATCTAAGTGTTCACGTGTGACAAGTCATACAATACTGTACAACACTCCCCCTCAAGCTGGAGAGTAAATTTAAATAACTCCTGGCTTGCTACATATAGAATCAATAGAGTTTTTGGGAAGTGCCTTAGTGAAGATGTCTGCCAGAAGGAACAAAAGGTGTAACAATCTCATTCAAGTTAACTTTAGCTCGAATGAAATGACAATCTACTTCAATGTGTTTAGTCCTCTTATGGTAGACTGGATTGCTAACAATATGAATAGCTGCTTGATTGTCACAATGGAGAGAAATTGGGTACTGGACTGAAATCCCAAGTTCCTGTAAAAAAGTCTTCAATCAAGTAAGTTCACAAGCATTGTGCGTCATGCACGATACTTTGCTTCAGCACTGGAACGAGCCACAACTGATTTTTTCTTACTCCTCCAAGTTATTAGATTTCCTCCTATGAAGGTGCAGTAAGCCGTGGTGGATCGTCGATCAGAAGGAGAACT